ACGAAATCTAAATTAGTGTAGAGAATTATTTTGAAGAGACAGATTCGATGATATCCTAAATATACCAAGAAAGTGCTCAATAAACTAGATAATCCTGCTTGGACATTTGAACCAATTGATGCTTTTCTAAAGTTACCATTCATCCGGTGTCGGAGTAACAAACTCAGGTAACCTAGAAATCCCTTATCTGCCACAAAATGGCCGAAAAGTAAACCTGTCATGTGTGGGATATGAGTTTATAGTTCAGTCATCTGCTGCTTTGTAAACCTCAAATCTCATTTCCTTAAAACCATCAAACCGAGGATTAAGTTGAGAAACACTGACAACACATGAAGTTATAACTCATGAAGTGTTAATGTACGTGTTCTCTATTTTATAAGGAGTGGGTTCAAATCCACTTTCCTATTGAAAAATAAAGCACCTGAAATGAGTAAATTGGGAAAGAAGAAGTGGAGGTAATGGGAAACCCATTCACATATTTTCTTCTTGACATAAGAGACACAACTGCGTATGCTCTTCGACATTAGGGATTGATGACCTTTCAACCGTTACAATTTGAAGAGAAATAAAATGTAAGCTGCCTGTTTCTTCTGTAAAGCCAAATGAGCCCTGGCACTGCTGTTATATGAATATGGAAAACATAGGAAAATCCGAACATGTTAGTCAAGTAATCAAGTTGAAAAGTCTAATTGCATATTTTTTTGAAGTATTCTTAACTAAAGTTTAGTGTTTGATGAATAAGGGAATTAGCAGCAACATCGATATCGGTAATATGTTAGAAATTAGAATCGAAAATTCAAAATCAATTATTTTTGTCTTTCTATAATTTATATTCCATCAAAAATTAAAGAATTTTGAATATGAGTTTAACCTCAAACAAAACCCCTTCGTTTCAACAGGACTAGTAAGTGGTAGACTTGTACATTTAGTGACTGGCCGACCTACTCAATGTGCTGCAAAATCAGGTATTTTTGTACGAGATTAGAAGCTGTTCTAGCAGCATAAAATTAAATTGTGGTGTGGTTGCTGGGAGCGTTTTCTGCTGCAAGAATTAGAGAAAATATATAAATAAAACTTGGTAATTTTCCACAAGAGAAAAGAAGAGAGATGAAAAGAAAATGAATGAAATGTTTCTACTTTCAACTATATAAAACTATTACCATTCACTAAAAGCAAAAGGTCAATATATCTTAAAATGAATCAGTTAACAGGTACTTATAATACCCAATAGTAGCAATATGCAAATTCAAGAATTTCAAGTGAAAAAACGATTGAATGGACAAATAAATTGTTTAAGTTGGTATGTACCAAAACAAAATTGTTTAATTCAACTTCAAGTAAAAATTTTTGTTTTCTTTCTTAGCAGCAACTTTTTAAAGCGAAGACCTGAGAGATTTGTTAATCTGGGGAAGGTAGACATATTACATCCAGCTATAGCATTATTCGACACAAATAATGTAATATCCCAAATTTTCGGGAATTTTATCATTTAAGTTAGGGATTTATTTTGAGAAAAATATTATTTGAGGCCTAATAATAAATATTTCGAAACTTGAGGGATTTAAAAAAAGTAAAAATTTGGAAAAAGGGCATAAGGACCGAGTGATCCTTTTTCTTCTTTCTTTCTTCCTCAGCCTGTGTGCTTTTGCTCTTCCCGACCTCCCTGCAACCGGCTGAAGCCTCCCAGCTGCCGCCACCCATCTCCGGATGGAAAACCGGTAAAAAGCTTGGGGATTTCTCCTTCTTTTCTTGTTCTAGAACACATATAGAACCCAGAAATCTTCCCCCTGCATAGAAATTTCCAGATCTGCTTTGCTCTTCCTCCCCTGTCCATCGATTTCTGCTATGTGGGTGCGAAATTTCTAGGCTTTTCGGTAAGAACAGCCATGAATCTCCTTTCTCCAGCTTTAATTGGCTTGGGTTTACTCTAATTTCTTTTGGTTCTCCAATTTTCGGTAGATCCCCAAAATTTTCCGCACTTTCCACCGGCAATTCCCCCAATCTGCAGCTTCGGTTTGCTTGCTGGAAATTCTGGTATGTGACAGCTCAATCTAAGTCCAAATTACCGCCTTTAGTTGCTGAGTTTATCCTTGAAATTGTTGCCCCTGCACTGTCCGAATGTTTGTAAAATTAGGGGGATGAATTCTGGTAGAATTAGAACAAAATTTAAGCATTAATTCAAGTGGAATTTATGTGATTAAGTGTTAATTAGCTGCTGTGATGTTTATATGGAAATCCCGTGTGAGTTGCGGTTTTGCCAAGATAAATAATTGAAATAAAAGCCTTGTTTCTCCATTTTTGTGTCTGTGGGATTGGGATTGGGAAACCAAATTAGCGAATTTGGCTCTAAAACCTCTTGTTTAAGAGAATTTTTGGATATCATAATTTTACTTTAAAATATTTGGGATTTTGGGGAGATTTAGGGTTGAGAAAAAGGGAGTTTTATATTATGGTTGAATTTCGTGTGAAGCTCATTGGTTAGTAAATTTGCGAGGTTGTGCTAATAATTCTAGTAAAGTCTGAATGTATTTATTTAGAATATTAAGTGCTGTTATGGCTTAGAGCAATTGGATTGAGTCCTCGGTTTATGCGAGTTGAGGTAAGTAAATAATGGTAACGCCCTCCGATTTTTAAAGCACATTTTAGCTTGTTTTTAAAGTGGTGGCGGGACTAAACCCGTTTTATACAAATATAATCGATTTGAAATGAAATTATTATTCTTTTTATTGATTTGAGCAAGCCTTCTCGATGTTTACTTAACTACCCTGGTAATTTGGAAGTTTTTTGTGAATTATGATTTTTTTGTTAACTTCTGCCTGGTTTTGTCTCCGATATGGTTATATTATTCGTGTGTCCGCTAGTGGGAGGTTTTTAAATGCTAGCACATGTCGACATGTATTTCTGTAGAGCCGGTTTCTCCTGCCAGTGGGAGTTGTTAAACACTAGTATTTCTGTAATCTTGCTAGTGGGATTATGCACTAGTAAATCGTGTGCTTGTCACTGGGAGGTTTATAACACTAGTAGGTTTATAACACTGGTTATGACTTATAGAGGAGACGTCTATTTTATTTCCGTACTCATATTTGTTTTTCGTAATTATACTTGTTGGCATGCTATAAGTTTAATTAAGGGCTATCCATATTTACTTATTGAGTTATCTCATAGTTTTTCCTTGTCCACCATTTCAGGAAGCGAAATCAAGAACGGGGAAAAACGAGAGGAGTGACAAGTTAAAAGACTAGCCATCTTGTAAATTGAACATAGATTTTTGATATAAATCATGATTTTGTAAGCTAGAGTTTATTTGGAAATTTTATGATATCAAAGCAAATTTTATAATTTTATTTTCAGATTTTGTGATATCAAATTATGGTATGATGAAGTTTCGAGCCTTGTGCATTTGTGGAACTCGTTCACGAGTGCACGACGTCTATCACGTCCCCGGATTTGGGTTTTGGGACGTGACAAATAATTAAACAAAGTATAGCTAAATACACCAATGCGCAAGGAATCTAAGAAACCATCCAAAGAAACAGTCAAGCACAAAATACCCAAAACAGAAAATTAATTGTTGAGCTTCAGCCCTTCTTCCCACTCTTCGCCGTATCCTCTTTTTCCCGTAATTCATAGGCAATGCCAACAACGGTGAACACAAATGTGGAGGATAAGGTTATAATTGCCAGCATGCGATAGTAATTGTCAAGATGACTTTTGCTAATGTCATTGTCACTGCCAACCCAGCTGCTTGGAGAAGCTGCTGTGAGTA